AAAAAAAAAAAATAAAAAAAAAACTTTTTTTAACAGGAATACTTTTGTGATAGTTCTAACAAGATTATTGAAAATGTAAGTTACTTGTAAAAAAATGTCATGAGAAAGTTATTCTAGATTTTGGACACAAGATGGATATAGAAATATTGAATTTGATAGAGGATCATTAGCACAATAGGTATAGTGCTAAATATATTCATTAATTTTTGAATCCACATGAGAAAAGAATTACTTAATTTCAAGGCCGAATATGCTAAATTTAGAATTTATTAAATACAAAGATTTCTGCTATTCAAAGAAATTAAGTACTCTTTTGCAAAAAATAACTTGAAAAGAAAAAAAATTAATAATATACTTTTTTTTTTGAAAATTAAGAGAGGAAAAGATAAAGCTATTAAATAGGGATCTAAAGATTGGAAGATTTTACGAGAATTACAGCCGTATGTCTTGGTTAGTAACAAATAATATGTTTTAAAGTAATAAGCTAGTTTAGTGTGCATGCATATTACTTATAGGCTTTAGTGTTTACCAAATTGCTTTAGGGTAGATTTAAATTTTACTTTTCAATTTATTTTTACAATTTATCTTTTATAATTTTACTTTTATGATTTACTTTTATCAACTCAAAACAAAGAAACCAAGGATTAATTCTCTTGCAAGTTTATATGTTACTCAGTTTTTTAAAATTAAACTACTTTAAAATTCTGATGAACTTATATGGTGAAATTTTTAAGTAAAATTGCTTGCAATTTTTCTTGATACAGTATTTAGATTAACACATCAACTATAAATTTCAAAAAATCTTTAACATAATCTAAAAAATTTTTGGATATGAAAGCTAAAAGTAGTGAAAATTGGATCAAATTGTAATTAATTGAATAGGCCAAGAAAAATAGGAATGTGGTATTTAACACGATAAATTTCAATTCGGATTCGTTGTCAAACCAGACCAAACCCATTCTAGAGGAGAAAGAAACTATACAGAACTTCCTCTAGTATCTTTTATACCCACTACATCACTGAAACACAATGGCTCTGCAGAGGTAATTTTAGATACTGTAAACGTACTTCCATTTGTATATTCTCCAGTACTATTAATTTCTACACACGGCCTTGTAGAGTAGAAACTTTAATGCAATATTAGCAATTGTTGTGTTAAAAAAAACGTCACTTGGTACAAAGCGGTTGCAAATAAATATAAGTAGAATTGCAAATGATATGATATTTGGAATTATAATCAAAATGGTAAGGACGAAAATAAATAATTTAAAAGACCTCATTGCAGATAATATTTTGTAAAAATACTTTAATAATATCCGAATTTATAATACCACAACATTTAGTAAATCCAGGTCTTTAAATATATTAATGAAAAAAAAGTAATGCTAAAATAATTCTGCAATTCCAAGTTCTTCAATTTAGAATTCAAATACAATTAAGCGAAAGATTTTAATTTTAATTAAAATTGAAAAGTATTTAATAAAACTAATTTTGAATTTGTATTTATTTAAATTTCATTCCAAAACAATACAATTAAATAAAACATTATTCCGTAATGCACTACTGAAAATCAAAGTCATGGTTAAAAATGGGCTTTTCGAGTATCAAGAATTCTGCAATACAAAGTATTTGGTTTTAAAAATGATTAAAGTCACAGTTTATTTAACAAGACAATACAAAAAAAAAATATTTTTAGATTGAGCAGATATATTCTGACACTACTTACATATTTAATTAGCCTTCTATTTATGTGTTTCAAGAATTAGTATGTTGGTCAAAGTGTTTAGTATGTCAAATACTCAGGTTTGGGTTTATTGATAGATTAATACTCTTGAATTGTAATATTTAGATTATTTTTTTTTAATTTTGGGTTATTCTTTAGTTTGTTTAGGTTAGTCAATATTAATATTATTTCTAATAGCATTAAGGTTATATTACTCTTGCTATATCGATATGACTTTTGAAGTTTTCGAATTCTAAGAAATCTACTTAATTTACCTAATTTTCGATTTATATTAACGACCTATGACATAAATTAAAAAAGTAGTGTTCAAATCAACAAAGTCAAGTGCGCTACGATAGTGTATATATTTTAACTCTAATCACAAAAATGCCAAAGAAATTTAAAGGAGAGAACATAAGAGGTAGTTTTCAGATATAAAGCTATATGAAAATATAGTAAAACAAAATGTGGAAAAGAAAGCTGGAAGCTATATGTACATGACTGAAGTGCCAATAAAATTCAAATTCAGCATTACTTTCTGATATATCTTCAATTTTAAGTAGATTTCTTAGAATTCGAAAACTTCAAAAGTCATATCGATATAGCAAGAGTAATATAACCTTAATGCTATTAGAAATAATATTAATATTGACTAACCTAAACAAACTAAAGAATAACCCAAAATTAAAAAAAAATAATCTAAATATTACAATTCAAGAGTATTAATCTATCAATAAACCCAAACCTGAGTATTTGACATACTAAACACTTTGACCAACATACTAATTCTTGAAACACATAAATAGAAGGCTAATTAAATATGTAAGTAGTGTCAGAATATATCTGCTCAATCTAAAAATATTTTTTTTTTGTATTGTCTTGTTAAATAAACTGTGACTTTAATCATTTTTAAAACCAAATACTTTGTATTGCAGAATTCTTGATACTCGAAAAGCCCATTTTTAACCATGACTTTGATTTTCAGTAGTGCATTACGGAATAATGTTTTATTTAATTGTATTGTTTTGGAATGAAATTTAAATAAATACAAATTCAAAATTAGTTTTATTAAATACTTTTCAATTTTAATTAAAATTAAAATCTTTCGCTTAATTGTATTTGAATTCTAAATTGAAGAACTTGGAATTGCAGAATTATTTTAGCATTACTTTTTTTTCATTAATATATTTAAAGACCTGGATTTACTAAATGTTGTGGTATTATAAATTCGGATATTATTAAAGTATTTTTACAAAATATTATCTGCAATGAGGTCTTTTAAATTATTTATTTTCGTCCTTACCATTTTGATTATAATTCCAAATATCATATCATTTGCAATTCTACTTATATTTATTTGCAACCGCTTTGTACCAAGTGACGTTTTTTTTAACACAACAATTGCTAATATTGCATTAAAGTTTCTACTCTACAAGGCCGTGTGTAGAAATTAATAGTACTGGAGAATATACAAATGGAAGTACGTTTACAGTATCTAAAATTACCTCTGCAGAGCCATTGTGTTTCAGTGATGTAGTGGGTATAAAAGATACTAGAGGAAGTTCTGTATAGTTTCTTTCTCCTCTAGAATGGGTTTGGTCTGGTTTGACAACGAATCCGAATTGAAATTTATCGTGTTAAATACCACATTCCTATTTTTCTTGGCCTATTCAATTAATTACAATTTGATCCAATTTTCACTACTTTTAGCTTTCATATCCAAAAATTTTTTAGATTATGTTAAAGATTTTTTGAAATTTATAGTTGATGTGTTAATCTAAATACTGTATCAAGAAAAATTGCAAGCAATTTTACTTAAAAATTTCACCATATAAGTTCATCAGAATTTTAAAGTAGTTTAATTTTAAAAAACTGAGTAACATATAAACTTGCAAGAGAATTAATCCTTGGTTTCTTTGTTTTGAGTTGATAAAAGTAAATCATAAAAGTAAAATTATAAAAGATAAATTGTAAAAATAAATTGAAAAGTAAAATTTAAATCTACCCTAAAGCAATTTGGTAAACACTAAAGCCTATAAGTAATATGCATGCACACTAAACTAGCTTATTACTTTAAAACATATTATTTGTTACTAACCAAGACATACGGCTGTAATTCTCGTAAAATCTTCCAATCTTTAGATCCCTATTTAATAGCTTTATCTTTTCCTCTCTTAATTTTCAAAAAAAAAAGTATATTATTAATTTTTTTTCTTTTCAAGTTATTTTTTGCAAAAGAGTACTTAATTTCTTTGAATAGCAGAAATCTTTGTATTTAATAAATTCTAAATTTAGCATATTCGGCCTTGAAATTAAGTAATTCTTTTCTCATGTGGATTCAAAAATTAATGAATATATTTAGCACTATACCTATTGTGCTAATGATCCTCTATCAAATTCAATATTTCTATATCCATCTTGTGTCCAAAATCTAGAATAACTTTCTCATGACATTTTTTTACAAGTAACTTACATTTTCAATAATCTTGTTAGAACTATCACAAAAGTATTCCTGTTAAAAAAAGTTTTTTTTTTATTTTTTTTTTTT